GCCTTGGAGGCGGGGCGGCTGGGTTTTTGCCCCTGTTTTGTGGGGGTCGGCGTAAGGCGGCCTTAGGGCGCGCCTAGGCCGTTGAGGTGCGCCCAGGTGTTCATCTGGGCTTTTTTTCCTTTGAAACCCAGGTCTGGCTCTGAAATGCAGAGAAGCTGTTCTAGTTTCAACGAAGAAGAGAGTTTCTCTCTAATGCTAACTCTTTTCTATTTTTTTGTTTTTTTAATTGTTGCCCATGTAGATTCCGCCACCTAGCATTTTGATTAACAAAGATTTATTTCTCTTGAATTTCCCTATAACTGATCCACTCACTCAGCCTTTATTTTCCTTTAAATTCCCTATAATATTGCCTACTCAGCCTTTATTTCATTTTAAATTTCCTATAATTGCTCCACTTAGCCTTTATTTCCTTTTGAATTCCCTATAATTGCGACTTTGAGCCTTTATTTTCCTTGAAACTCCCTATAATTGTGGCCACTCAGTCTTATTTCTCTTGAAGTTCTCTATAAATGCTTACTATAAATTAAATAACTACAACATTCTAAGACTATATGACATAGTTTCCAATTACAACTAGACTTAGTAATGAAAAAGATGATATTATCTTTGATTTAGTTATAATTATATTTGTTTTTCAAAGTATTATGTTTTATAAATATAACTATATACTTAGTATATTAAAATATTAGGTGTCATGAGGCTTCGCCTCACGCCTCAAGGCTATCCAAGAAACGCCTCGCCTACGCCTTCTCCTTTTAAAACATTGATCTGAACATATTCTCTTTTAAGAGAATATTCTAAAATAGCAAAAATATACTCATAGAGAGGAAATCCTACCCAAAAAACCATGGTTCTCGCCTTTTGGTGTCATGATGGGCATGGCCCCTTTAAAATGGATAGTATGCCCCCAACTGATACCAACGAACTAACAACTCAGGTTCTGAATTGCCAAAAAACCCACCAACATCAGCACCTGTAACAACATTACATCCATGAGTACCAGTTGAAAAAGAAACTTTGTGTTAATAAGAAAATATTGCTCTTGATACCTGAGAATGAGATCCCAATAAGACCAAGTGTCAAAACCATTGGAACTGAAACCCTAAGGTGATCCCAATCAGCTGAATTATCTCCTGTCCATACTGCTCCATGCCTTTGAATTCCAGCAAATAATGCTCTTGATAAAACAAAAGGCCTATCCCTTCCATCACCTCGCTTCACAAGCCCATCTGCTGTAGCCATGTGAAAGTAGTACCCATAGGCATTATGTAACTCTCCATGTTCTACACCTTCACCATGTAATGTTAGCCTTATAAGGTTATACAATTAAAACACAAACGAAGGAGTGACTGACCTGATTCCAATGGTAGTTATCGAAGATGCAACAGCCATGCAAGCAAGACGTGATCGATAAAACTCCAATCTTTATGTTTGCCGTGACAAACAGAAACACCAACTCTTCTGTAAACTCCTAGCTTTATGACAATGCTCTATGGGAAGCCTTAGTTGTTGTGTCTAGGGTTAGCAGGGACCGGTGTTTATATACTAGCAAAAAAATCTTAGATTCCGTCCATAAGGGAAAACTAAAACTCTCCTTTCTTGGCTCTCAAGTAAAATATCATAATCATATATTATTAAGGATTCCATCAATCCTATTTCCAATATAAGACACCTTATATAGGATTGATATCTTTAAGAGATCAAATCACAATTAACATTATTCTCCAATATTACATTCCTATTACATATAGTAGACCACTTAAAGGTTGATTTATATTGGATAAATCCAACATTCTCCCACTTGGTCTACAAAATGTAATATTCATGTTTATACTTGAGATTGGAGACTAATGTCACTTTAGTGGCCATGTAACAGTGATTACATCTCGTCCTTAATGCAGCTTCTGTCAAATGCATTTCTTAACATGGAACAAACAAGGTTGTAGAGTTGACACAACCCAGAACCTTCATAATCACACATGCTAAGATCCTCATTCACATGAAACAAAAATTATGATCAAGAGATGAAACTTTAAAATTAAACTTTAAATTAATCAAAATGTCTTACTTTATATCATCTCAGGTCCACCTTATTGTAACTCACAAGTTACACTTTATGCTTCTTCGAAGCCTTAAATCTGCCAATGCAGATATCCTTCATCTAATGAAACCACCATAACGTGCAGGTGTGAATACATCTCCAAAACAATCATGCATCACTTTCATTAGATCAATAATAATACAAACGATGTTTGTAGCCAACGGACACAACTGAAAATACCAAATAGGCACATGTCCAAGTAAAATATCCCAAAAACTTCATAAAACAAATTAATTCAACACTTGTGAGCAAGATGAATTAATATGTTTTTGACACTAATCTATGCACCATACCAGTTACTTTCATAGTGATTTCCAACACCTACGGGCAAGATGGAAATCCTCACAACTGAGGTAGTGCACAAACCATGCCATGACATTTAATATGCAATTTGATAACAACTTGAAATCTGATATATATTTCATCAGATGATTGACTAGCACACGAAAAAATGTGACTTAATGAATCCAACTGGAGATTAATATGAATACATGGATTCTATACATACTTTATAGGTCATCTGCAAATGTAAGGCATTACTAACACGAAACTCAAACTCCCACTGATCTGCAACATCGTTACTTAATTTGCAAATCAAAAGTCACTTAAATCATACTGCCTTTGGGAATAGCCTTACTTAGTCAATGAATGCATATTACCTCAATAAAAGGTATAACTAAGCATGAAAGCATTCACTGCTGTTTACACAAAAAATGTGCATCCAACAACCATCTTATATGTATTAATAAGTCCATATTTATGCTAAGTCCTTATGAGCCCCAAAACAAATGATCAACTGAGAAATCCAAATGATTGCAAGTAACAGAAAAATGTACGCATATACCAAGTATCCACTCGTGCAACTTAACATATTATGGATATTCGAGTAACCCAAATTCATGGAAGATAGAATAATGCTTTAATAGATTCATGCAAGTCCACTTAGTGCTCAAAATTTTAGAACAACTCCCACTAAGTTTTCAAGTTTATACTTGCAAATAAGTTAATGAGTGTGAAGCCCAATTTTCGTTCACTAATTCTCCCACTTGGGCAAACACTCATTAATATATTCTTTCAAAGATGTACCTAAAGAAAATGTCTTTATATATTAGACATAATAAAATAGACATCACAACCAACATAAAGTTGTCAAACAGAATTTCAGCAATGAGTTACACTTACTTTAGAATTTATCATAATTAATTTACAAGCTTGATTGCTACCAAATTTATATTGATCAAAATAGACATACTAATCTTCATAAAATAGAAATACAGAGCAATTTTGGGTCAAAATAGTAGTCTAAAGTCACGTCTCAAAAAAAACATCACAATCTGCCAGTAAAAACTGTCTATACGAGCATGGGTTACTAGTAAATTCACCATAATTAACATACATGGCAGAAAATTACGAAAATTTTCAGACACATAGTAGACATTTATATGTTGAACATATCCAAAATTCAGGTCATTTGGTGATCATTAGACGTGTCATTCACCCGATTTAAATCAAGACATGCAATCTGCCAGAAACAATTATGTGCATCTATCATGAATTTATATATCCATAACAAATTCAATTTCATATCATTTCAATTTCGATGTCCAAAAGAAACTTTAGTAGTCAAATTTCATCCTCTAAACCGACATCATAATTCAAATTGAAAAGATTTACAAGCATAAGACTTAAACAATGCGTACCTTAGCAATCATTGATTAACCTTCATTGTCACAGCCTGTCCCGGAATTTTAATTCCGAGGACGTGAAAGTACTAAATTATCCCTAAACGGGATTAAGGTGCGTCACTTATCTATTGGTTTTTACCTAAATCCCCTAATCTATTGTTAATTGGAATATTATTTAGTGTCAGAAACATAAACTTAGACTTAGGGGTACAATTACATACTAAAGTTTTAATGTTGGTTTTGGAATTTATCACGTGGGATCCCCACCTCCTGAATTCCTTCCCCAAAACCCGTAGGTTGTCTCTTCCTCAGCTCTCCTTAGTCTCACTCTCTCTCTCTTTCTTCATTTCAGACTCTCTCATTCTCTCTCTTACTCTCGAACTCACTCGAACTCACGGCAAACACCAAGAACAACCACAATTCTACACGAACGTCCAATCTAAGATCACCATCGTGATCTTGGGAACTTCACGAGCACGGGGGTACAAGTTTCAGGTGAGTTCTATTTCAAAAACCCCAGTTTCAAAACACCCCGTGGATTTGCACTGTTCACAAACTTTAATATGGCCGTGTTTTAGGTTAAACAAAGCTCACAGTGAGCTTAAGGAGGTCACGAGGAGGCTCGGAGTGCCTCGTTTGAACAAAATGGACGTCGGGATCGTTGGGTTTGAGTTTGGCCGAATTTGAGGAATTTTAGAAAGGTATGATCTTGTTGTTTTTGGACCTTAAAAACCTTCCAACGTGATAGTAGGTGTTAAATGCTTCATTTTGGTATAAAATGCGAAGAAATTGGACGAAAAACGAGTGAGATTAGTGGAATTGAAATTTTACCCAGTTTCCGGCGCCGGCGACGGTCGCCGGAGCTGAAGGTTGAAGGTGACGGAATATTCCGTCAAGTTTGACGGAATATTCTGACGCCGTTAGTCAGTTTTAACGGAAACCGTTAGTTTTTAACGGAATATACTAGGATTTGACGGAATATTCCCTAACGCCGTTCACTGTAGCCGTCAGTGTGCATGTCACGTGGCCGCGCGTGGGGGGCGCGTAGGTCCGTGCCACGTCAGGCGCGTGGGGGCGCGTGAGACCTCTAAAAATTATTTTTAAAATATGGGGATGATCCTGAGGTTGTGTAGGTCACGGTGGTATATTCATATACCCAATTTGAGCATCGTATGAAGAATTTATTACCTAGTTTGGTTTAGGTGCATTAAATGTGCGTTAAATGATTGTTTTAAGTTATTTCACTTCTAGGTGGAACTTATAACGAGGACGAGCACATCCAGGGGCGTCAAGGGGGTTACGACCCGGCGACATACCAGTGAGTGGGCATTTGTTTTTATATATATACCTATATACTCGATTTCCCCAGAAATCAAATTTAAATGAAAAGTATAGTGAAATGAAATGAAATATGATTTGATTGCCATGCATAGAATGTTATGAATATTATGAACTGTCGTATGATGCATATATGTAAGGTGGTGCTGTGGACGCACAGGTAAGTATTTAATTACTGTTATGTTGATGATGATGATATATTGAGCTCATATCCTGCACCATGGTTTAGTGCTTATAGTATTCACCGCATCGCACGCTCGCCTTGGATCCAAGTAGATGCTGGTCGTACAGTCCACGCGGAGTGGGTACGACGGGCCAGTCGTAGAGTGTTAGTGAGATTATGACTGGTGGGTGACCTTAGGTTATTGTATACAAATGATTGATGAGAGAAGCACTAGAGCGAATATTACCATGAGTCGTTCAGACTACATTAGGTGGTTCCGACTTATGTGCAGAAGGCCGGACAGGTCACGCGGAGTGACTCCGGCAGAGAGTGAGATTGATAGATGTTGAGCTCTAGGTTCAATCGTTCAGGGCTATTAGAGGGCCTCCGATTGATTATTTCTTTTACCTGATTATATTATGTTAATGCATTCATACTAAACTATTGAAATTGGCATGGTACATTCTTTATTGAATCTGTTATAAGATTGATGATCGAGACAGTTGAGATATATATGCTATATACTATTTTTCTGGGAAAGTATACAGGTTTTCCAAAAAGGGGTTATAATTGTGGATTTATGAAATGATTCGGAAAAGCTTTATTTTCGCCCACTCACGTTTTCTGTTTTTCGCCCCTCCAGGTTCTAGTTGATAGTTGAGGCGTTGGTGGCCTACGAGGACTGCTTCGGTGTTCTGACAGACTAAATAAATGTAGGATTTCACCCGAGGGTGTTGTAAAATAGTTATGGTCCTACTTGACTGCACCTAGACGCTTATGCTCTGTTTATGTGTGTTTAGTACACTCTTATGCACATAGAATGCTAGGTTGTAAATAACTGCAATTAGTGGTTTTCGTTGACTCGTATTTTATTATTAAATCGTTTCCGCTTGCGTTATGGTTACGTCACGCTCACGTGACGGCCAGCACGTCCTAGTCTTCGGGTTAGGGTGTGTCATTCATGGGTCCAATACTTTGCATCAACAAGTCTCATAAAGAGATACAAAATACATCATGATGCAACCGATTTCCATGCCTTCAAACCACAACCTTTTATGGGGCTCATTGTGGAAATATTTGTCACTAATGGCATGGAACTTTATCCCAATAAACTTCATGAAACTAAATTAATTTACACCTGTAGGCAAGAAAATTAACTAGTTTCTAGTACTAGATTTTATGTCACAAAAGTTCCTTCATGAAAAACTTCAACACCTGTAGGCAAGATGAAGGTTTTCACAACTTCTGTGAAATGAAACCCATACTATGCCATCTTAATTAAACTAAAAGAAGTAATCCACACCTGTAGGCAAGAAGATTATCCCTTTTATTCTAATTAAGATGCAAAGTTGACCAAAGTAACTCAAAAACATAGTCCCATTGCAAACTAAGCCGTTGCGTCTTGCTTAGTTGAAAAGGCATTGGTCAACTCCGCCCTGAAACAATACAAGAAGTCATATGGATTAATTAACTGTAAGTGACAAAATTATGATAACCTGATTCGAGCTTTGAGTTTTTGCCAACAAATGGCACTAATTCCTTCATGACTCCCTTTGACATCAAATTAATCTCAAAAATACATGACAGCATACTTGAAAGAGATTAATCACATATAGAACAAGTTTTATTCCACCACAAGAATGTCAAAACTTATCATTATGGAGTCAATTACTCAATAGAAATACTTTATGTAATGGGAAAGAACAATACATTCCTTTAATTTAAAAACTAAATTGTTCAAATGTTTTCTTAAGTCAAACGGGTTCCTTTTCTTTTGTACATTTCTTTCCGTAGTACAAGGCTCCTAAATCATTAGCATCAAAATCGTGCATTAGCCTTGTAAATACCAAATTAAACGAAGGAACTACCAAAATTCTTTTCTTTCAAAAGAAACATCTCCAATACATGCCATACATTAGGCTTGTATAAGTTTCTTTTCTTCTCCCCTTATGACACATAAAAATTACTAATCAAAGTACTGTTTAAATTCTTTAGGAATAGGAAAAACCACAAACAATAATACATGTTTGAAAATTCATGCTTATCAATTTAGTCACATACTTTGAATGAAATACATACCTCATGCCTTCATATGTTCACTACTTCTTTATAAACATATGTATAATCACATGATTAACCAAAAACTATAATGCACCACATTCCAAGCTCACGGCAATGTTTAAAATTGCATCATCCCATACATGCTTGAACCAACACGCCATTTGCTTAATTATGTTGCCAAAATTTATATTAAATTACCTTCATGTATAAGAAATACATTATATTCATTGACAAGCATGTATAAAGTTGATATGCGGAGAACTTAACATATGCATCCCTAAAACATAACTTTAATATATGTTATCACAATCATAGGCACAATATATCCGAATAGTATTGATAAATTATAGGATATGACTAATTTCGTCTCCCACAATCAGAAAGATGTCACGACATGGTTGGATTTTGTAGGAATAATATAACACTTCATGAATCCAACATAACCATTCCTTATATAATTTATCATGAAGACCAAAAAGAAAGATCATACTAGAATTTCATAACCGATGTAATACGAACCTCTTCATTGGGCTTGTTCGACTGAGGGATCTTAAGAAATTCTCCAATGCAAGGTTAGAACAAATGTAAATACATATACATGCTATGCGAACTGTAGATACATAATTGGCTTTAGAAAATTATGTATACTTGCTTGATCAAACAATTGCTGGCACTTATGCAATTGTTTCTTGTCACATTAGCGTATCACCCGTAGCAATTCATATAGAATATAATTCATGGAAAATAATATTAGTTCTTATTCAATAAACATATGCCCATTTAGATACGTATTGCCAAAATATATAAAAATTGGATCCATATTCATGACATACTTAACCGATACATGGTAATCAATGTATTTACATGCTCTACAATAATTAGCACATCACTCATGCAATTATATCTTTATCTTATTACCAATTTAAGCTTTCAGGGATCAACCCGAATATATATCAACCAAAATACCATAAACCATTATGGAAATTAAAAGTCAATGAAACAAACCATTTTGCTTTGGTAGATGACTTCGTTCTGCTTGCAAATCGGAGGGCCTCTTCAGTAAGGTCAGAACAAATATAGCATGCTTACAAAAATTGAGATCATCAGTGGCACATGGTAAATCAACCAAAACATTAGCATGAAAATTGAAATAGAAACTCTGAAATATTCCATGATTTTCAATCGTTGTTAATCCAATAAACTGACGCTAATCAAACTTTCTTAGTCATTCCTTTATCAGAACTATTGGTGGTAATCTATTTTGACTAATCAAATTGGATTTTGTTGACCAAGCTAACACACGTAAAAAACAAGTGTCATGATAAAAAATTTACATGTAAACCTTGTATATAATTAGTCTTAGAAATTGCATGCGCATGCAATTTTCCAACACAAGCGATTATTTCCTGTTATATTTGGTTGCTGCTTTGTTCAGAGTTGGAATTCTGAACCTGAGCAGGTTGCAAAGAACCTCCAATACGTTGTCCGAGACATTTACCTTATCCAGTAAAAATTCAACCTTTTCCAAACACACTGATTTCCATGAATTTGAGCTATTCATCATAGAACCCTCCCATTTAAAACTTTTAACATTTGGAGCAAGGGAAACTTAACGACTTGCTGCTAGTTAAAAGAATAATAGAGTTCCCACTGTAAAATACTTTAATACTACGCCTTACATATATGGTTCCTTACGTACCTATATCATTATAGGATTCCAATTCCTATATGATTTTTAAATTTCATTCTTCAATAAGAATAGTATATATAAATTTATGCTTCAATTCCATAATTTAATTCATGCTTGATCAAAAGAGCCTCTAAGCGTAGTCCAATTTCCAATTGGCAAGCAAAGGCTATGTTGAAACTGATTTAAACAGTATGGTGATGTTGCCGAGTGTATGTAATAACTTGGATTAAACACATAATATTATATAATCCAATATTAAACCCTAATAGATTTTAATCATATAACCAGTGGCTCTGATACCAATTGTTAGCCTTATAAGGTTATACAATTAAAACACAAACGAAGGAGTGACTGACCTGATTCCAATGGTAGTTATCGAAGATGCAACAGCCATGCAAGCAAGACGTGATCGATAAAACTCCAATCTTTATGTTTGCTGTGACAAACAGAAACACCAACTCTTCTGTAAACTCCTAGCTTTATGACAATGCTCTATGGGAAGCCTTAGTTGTCGTGTCTAGGGTTAGCAGGGACTGGTGTTTATATACTAGCCAAAAAGTCTTAGATTCCGTCCATAAGGGAAAACTAAAACTCTCCTTTCTTGGCTCTCAAGTAAAATATCATAATCATATATTATTAAGGATTCCATCAATCCTATTTCCAATATAAGACACCTTATATAGGATTGATATCTTTAAGAGATCAAATCACAATTAACATTATTCTCCAATATTACATTCCTATTACATATAGTAGACCACTTAAAGGTTGATTTATATTGGATAAATCCAACATGTAAAGCATCTCTAGGCATTGTAACCTGGTCATGGTCGATAATCAAGAGATGCTTAGATGGTATACTACAATTAAGAGTGTTTCTCTATGGTGCTCTAATACAGCATCAGCAAAAAATGAAAAATTGTGCGTGGTACTCTAATCCAGTAATCCTTTTTAGGTTGATTCCTTTATTAGTGAGTCACATCTTGTATCACTAATAATTCGTAAACGAGCAAAAGCCTTTCCTTTTATTGGCAATGAAGACCAAAAAAAAAAAAAAATAGCAATATAGGACTATAAACTCCAAGATCTACTCCATTTCCACTAGTCTAACCTGCAGTTTAGTTGTTTGTTTTCAATCAATAGGTCACAGTTGATTTGACGAGTTAGACATATAGTTATCAGTTCAAAACCAGTCTAAGAAACCATGAGTTACTCACAAATCCCATTTTAGACATCATAACTAATACAGAAGACAGTATGGGTAAGAAATCTTGAGTGTAATTTAGCTAAATTAAGCATACATTTGAATAGAAGGTTTACATGTACAGAAGAAGACAGTTAAATTCATTTGAATGTTCCAGATTTTCATTTGCTACAACCAATTTTTAAATTGCATCTCTCCGCACCTCTCAAAATTTGACCAACTCCGCCCATGCTAAAATATCATTCTTCAACAGTAGTACTATTATAGAATTTCCCCGCTCAAATTATGTTAGCACAGGGGTTCGATTGAAAACCACAAATATAGCATTTGATGCCTGTAAGCAAAAATGCCCACCTCATTTCTCTGCTTGAATAATTTGAATACTAAAGATTTTCTATTCTAATATTCTATAATTAGACTAATCTATAAGGAAACATAGTACATTCATTGTAAAAACAAATAATCATAAGGAGATTCCAGAAGAAATATTAATGGTGCAATAAATAAAATATGTATCAACTACAGATTAAGAATGCAGAGAGTCCAAATGACGCAAAATGTCGCAACGAAACTGAAGCTGATTCCTTACTCAACACAATTAGAAGTGGGTTACTTCTTAATGTAATCATATATTTGTTCATTCTGCTACTGAAACAATTTTTTCATTGTGACCAAACTTAATAAATGTGTCTTAACATTCTGATCTCCCACATTTTCCTAGTCATAGGTTAGATATGAATTATAAGATACATGTTAGTATAAACAAATGATGATTACGTGTACATAAAAATCAACCTACTATACTTAGAACAAAACTGATCTTTTTCACTCGGTCAGAAAATACATAATAATTAATTGAATGTGTTCTAACCAGCTTTCCTCGTTAAAATATTGATAAAATCATAAATACAAAAGAAAAGATTTTGGCTCAAATTTCTCCGTGAATAACATTAAAGAGTATTCTATTGAAATAATAAGGCATAAATATATAACTACAGTTAAATCAAATCTCAACAAAAAGCATGGCACAGTGGCAATTAAGTAACTTACCTCGGGACCATTGAAGACAGAAGGCTCATTCATGTCATTCCAGATGTACAGTGAAGGAGTTGAACCAACATAATTCTCAATAGAGAACTTTTCAGCCCACCAGGACCTAACCTCTGGCCTCAACATATCCAAATAAGATGATGAACCAGGCCAGCACCACCCATCATAATCTTTTCCAGTGTTATCCCTAACATAATACCGCTTTTCTGTGGCCTGTTTGTGCAAAAAATAGGAATCAACACGCTTAATATGAGGATCCACAATAGTAACCATGTGCCTACCCTTACCAGCCAACTTCCTCTGCATCTCCTCTGGGTGTGGAAAAAGCGTTCTATCCCATGTAAAGTATCTCTTCCCATCTGTGTGCTCAATATCAAGCCACAGAACATCATATGGGATATCGTGCTCGTCAAACATAGCATCAACTTGCTCAACATCCTCCTCATCCCGGTAATTCCACCTACATTGGTGATAGGCCACTGCAAACAACTGTGGCATTGCAGGTGTTCCAGTTACACTCGTGTACTGGCCGATTACATCCTTAGGTCCAGGTCCTACGAAAAAGAAGGCATCGACAATACCTGCCTCACTCATCCAATGTGTATCGATCCTATTCTGTGACGTAGGGGGAGAAATGCCAGACTCTGCATCCCAGCCGGTTCCAAGAACATCAATCTGCATCTCAGCAGCATTCAACCAAAAGAAACCGGAAGTCCCGCTCGCCTTGCCGTGGGAAATCATTAAGGGTACAGAACCATAAAGTCCGAATGGGGAATCATGAATGTACTCAAACACATCTAAGTTAAACAATCTATAGGGTTCAGATTCCTCAACCCCAGGACCTCTAGTGGGCTTCAGAGCGAAGCTTGTAGCACGCTCAGGAATCCCATACACATGATCAGCATCATAAAAGGACACGTCGAAGCTAATCGATTGCGGGCCGAAGGGCCTCGTATCTGTATGCCCCTTGAACCTCTCCTGCCAATCCTCACCATTCTTCTCCCTCAATTGCTCAAAATCAAATAAACCATGAGAATTCATAGAAACTATGCGATTACCTCCCTTTTTGCGCACGTAAACCTCAAAGGGATCGTGCCGGAGCACCGCCTCGTAGCCGTCCAACAAGTAGACGATCGACGACGGACCTACATTGCCGCCGATGGTCTCTGTTGAAAGCCTCTGCAACCACAACTTCTTGCTAAAAAACTCCGGCACAAGCACATCGGGAACCTCGGAACGCTTCTTGGGTGGATCGAGTTTGGTCCTCGTCGATCTTGAGCCGCAAGATCCCATCTTGGTAATTCTGACCTGCCTCTCCATCTTCATGGATTGTCGTTCATACCTCTATCAGTAGGACCAGTAGCAAGGGAACTGAACACGAAGGATTTTCTCTTTTCAGTTCTTCTCAGCCAGTCTCTCACTGACGTGTTTCGGGCAAGGTTATAAAAGTAACTGGCGCTAGTCGGGCGCTGAGGTGGGCTTTTGCGAAGTATATGCGGATTTAAGTAGATATATTATATTTTATGTTAATAAATGTGTATTTATATTTAAAATATTTATAATTTTATCATAAATTACAAAATAGAATGATATATACATTATGAAGTATTAAAAGAGTTTTTATCAATAATAGTCAAAATTTAACACTTAATTTCATAATGTCACATTTTATAAAATCTTTCAAATATAACAGAAAACTTACTTAAATATACCTAAATACCCTCAAAATTAAAATCAAATAAAAATTAGTGGCAAAACTCTCACCCCACAACTATATATACGAGCAGCAACATTGCTGAACTTCCCAATCATTTTCATGTTTAAAAATTTAAAACTTTCTGCACATGGATTAATATTTTTAGCCCCATTGTTGAGAGCAGCATTTTCGCACACCCTCATTCCATTATTTAGTTTTTATTGGTTTGTGAGATCCTGTACAATTTTGAACTTGCTAATAGGGGTTATAGATTAATTAGATTTGCGGGGAAGAGAATCACGAATTTAATCGGAATGATCCTCTTGTGAAAACTGTAATGATTTTAAATCCCTATCATCCAACAAATTTAAGGAAAATTCGTAAGCACAATCGGATTGGAATTTGGTTTCAATGAGTTAGAATCCTCAACTAATATCACATTTGCTAAAATGATTGTACAAATAATATTCTGTCGTGGCGATATTGTATCAACGGTAACGATTGAGTTTGAGTTTCACACATAACCAACAAATTTTCAAGTCGGTACTCAATTAGTTAACAGTTGGATAACACCCGCTACTGCTCCACGACGTTTACCAATTGTCCTTGTGGCCTCGCACTTTGAACAACGATGTAGAGGAGATCTATTCAAGTGCTTTGGCTTTTTTGTGTAAATAAGTTTTGGGATTTTGAGGGTATTTAGGTCTATTTACATGAGTTTTTTGCTATATTTGAAAGTTTTTATAAAATGTGACTTTTATGAAATAAGGTGTCAAATTTTGGCTATTATTGATAAATGCTCGTATTAAAACATAATGAAAACATGGGGAATAAGCATATAATGTGTGCTCGTTTAAGTATTCAACAAGTCTCTTACAATTTATTGAAAACAATAAAATGCAAAATGAAAGTTTTCTATTTTGTCTAAGTGAGTTGCAATCGAGGCGGATGCCTAGACGGGTTTGGGGAGGTTAGGCGGGTGCCTAGGTAGTCTAGGCAGGCGCCTCAGTAGGTCTAGGCGCCCTTTCTTAATTTTCAAATGCCTAGGCATTAATCGAGGTAGTGACTAACCGACTCGGCACTAGGCGGGGATTTTTAGAACAGTGGTTTCGAGTACTGACTTGGATGACCCAAGTATGAACAAATTGGGGCTTCCATATACATAATTTTGGAGAATTGACATAAATAACCAATTTTCTTAATTTTGAGCTCAAAATAGGATTTTTTGAATATGTATAGAGCATGCACATGTCATGCACAATAATATGACACAACTAGGATTTTTCCTACACATTAGAATGACCTAATTGCCCTTGTATATAAATGTCACAACCCGTCCCGAAATAAATTATCGATGACGTGAATTGACTATTTTACCCTGGGATGTGAGCGTTGTGGTGTGTTATGCATGTAAATGGTGGTCCAAACTTGCATTTTCCTTAATTTTTGGAACAAAATTTGGAAATTTGTTTTGTGGTTTTGGTTGGTGACCACGTGGACCACTCACACACACACAAACTCTTCCTCTCACTTCTCTCCCGAGCTCTCTTACCCTCAGACTCACTCTCTTTCCTTCCCTCATGTACGGACCAACATCAAATCTAGAAGCAAGCTTGTAGATCGAGGGTTTAAAGGACACCATTGTGTTCCTGAGGCTCATACAAGTAGAATGGTACCATTTTTAGGTAAGAACTCCTTCGAAAACCCTAGTTTCTCTCGAACTCCGATTTAGGTACTATTCATGCAAACGTAAAATCTCATGTTTTTAGGGATTTCAATCTTATACGTAGCTTAAGGAGGTCCTCACGAGACTAAGAGTGGTTCGTTGGAAGATTTTGGACATCGAAATAGTGAGAGTCGACGAGTTGCAGGTTTGGCCGAAATATCGAGGAGTTTTCCGGCGAATCCCGTGGGTTTTAGGGCTCGTAAAAGGTATGGTTTTGTTCGTCTTGATGAGATCTTAAAAATGGTTCAAATTTGATAAAGTTTGGTGTTAAAATGAGGTAGAAATTAGGGTTAGAAGCTTTTCCAGAAACCGACAAACAGTCGCCGGTGTCCGGTGACTCGTTGGGGAAGAAGGAGCATATTCCGTCAGTTTTGTGGGAATATGCTAACGGCGTAAGGTAACACCGTTAGTTTTTAGACGGAATATTCCTTAACGCTGTTACTGCCACCATCAGTGTGCCAGGCACGTGCCTGCGTCTGATGGCGCGTGGGTGGTCGGAAAATTATTCTAAAAATATGGGGATGTTCGTGGAGTTGTGTTGATCACGTTGGTATATTCAAACACCCCATTTGAGCCTTGTATGATAATTTATTAGCTAGTTTTGTCTATGTGCTTTAAATAACGTTTTTATAGTTATTTCGCATATAGGGGAGGCTTATCCCGAGGACGAGCGCAGTCAAGGGCGACTCGGGGGCTACGACCCTTCGACATATCAGTGAGTGGGCTTTTGGTTTTTAGTATATATTTATATACTTGATATTTTCCCAGAAAATGCATTTAAATGAAAGTATGCCTTGAATGTCATGCATATAAATTTATATTTTGTATGTGAATTAGTATATGATGCATAATATATATAATTGTGGTGCTTTGGACGCTCAGGTAAGCCTAGGTGAGTTATAAATTGTGAATGTGATTAAAGTTATGATTGAGAAAAGTTAAGCTCATAAACCTGCACCTAGGGTGATTGTGATTTAGCCAGATATATGACACATGCCTGTTTATAATATCACCTCCCGCATCATATGCTCACATTGGATCCAATTTAGATGCACAGTCCTGTCGTACAGACCATCATAGGTGGGTCCGACTCGTAGGTGACTAGTGAATTATCACCCAGCTATCATGAGAGAGTAGTATTGAGCATAATTATATTACACCCAGTCTTGTCGTACAGACCCTTTTTAGTGGTTCTGACTTATGTGTAGTGTAGTGCCGTATAGGTCATGGTAGTGACTCCAGCTAGATTGACTAATGAGCTATGATTTCAACCGTACAGACTTATGCAGAGGTTCCGGCTAATATGTTATCTTCCATGAAATTATTCTCACTGAATTTATTCTATTTTATGTTTTGGCATGGCATACTTATGAATATGGATATGTGAAGCATGATTTGAATTGAGATAATTATATATATGTTGATGTATATGTTATATTCTATTTCTGGGAAAATCTATACATGTTTTATGGCGAGAGGTTAGAGCATTTTAATGATGAAATGTTTTTGTAAAACATTTGTTTTTGCCCACTCACGTTTTATGTTTTGCGCCCCTCCAAGTTTTAGGTTGGCTTGCTGTTGGTGGCGTTTGAGGATTTTGGCTGTTCTGACAAATTATATATTCAGTAGGACATCTTCTGGTACTGTATAATTAGTACTTGTCCTACTGGACTGCATCTAGACTTTCTATTCTCTGATTAGGAGTATTTACTTTTGTATCTTACTCCTAACACTTCTTGTTTATTAGTGCACTTTAGTAGCTTTCGGTTTTTCTTTATTCATATATTCTTATCCGTATTGCTTCCGCATTGTGCACATGGCTATGTCACTCTCACGTGACGGCCAACATGCCTCGATCCTGGTCGGGGTGTGTCAATAAATGGGTTAATTTGTCAAACCCAATCATCATTTGCACCTCCTTGTTCAAAAATCTCTGGCGCCCAACCCTTAGCTCCAAAAACCATAACCCTAAATGACGTGACCCTTTTCCACCCCAGTTTCTAACAGACGCTAACTTTTGAATCCATTCTATATATTTCGCAGCCTATGCGAATGTGTTAACCATCCTTTCAAAAAATTTCAACGGCAAAATAATAAAGAGGTATGGTTTGAAATGAAATTTCATTATTTAGACCTAGGTTTTGTAAATTTGAGAATTTTGGGTTTTGGGTGCGATTTGGCATTTTGTACTGTTAAGATGTTCGATATTAATTTGTGATGTGCATGTGGTTTAGATGTTGTTGGAAATTAATTGATTGAAATTTGTTTGTATCATACTTAGGGCCTTTGTATTTAGACCTCATATAAATACTCAGGGGACTCAAATGTAATTATGTAATAAATAGAGGGGCAAATATGTAATAAGAGAGGAGTCCTTATTCTATAAAAGGACTCCTCACTCTCTTCATTAGGGGAGGCCAATTCTTAAGCTCTGAGATTCAGACCAAAGCCTCACTCTCATATTCAAGCTCTCTCTTCCTCACAATCCTTTCACAAACAGAGAAATACAATATCAGTGTGGATGTAGCCCAAACATTGGGGTGAACCACGATACATCTTGTGTTATTTACTTTCTTGCAAATTCATGGTCGGATTTACGTTGCTCCAAGATCCCTCTAGTTTTGTACATCAACATTTGGCACCGTCTGTGGGAAACGACACGAAAAGCTGTGTCGGTTCTTTCTCATTTTTTCACATTCGCCGTGGATCTGCAAAATCTGCAAAACCCAAGAAACCAAAACTCTTCTCCCCAATCGACTAGCTGCTGCTTCCACCATCCCCATCAACTACTCCGTCTCCATCATCTCTTTCTTTCTCTCTTTCTAATTAAAACGTTTCAAACTGCTGCTTTTGAGCTGAGACAAGTGGAAGTTGGCAATGACAACCAGAATACGCCTCTCCTGGTTTCCAACCATAGCGGCTATGAGGACGGTGGAGAGGAGAAAGGCGGATTTGTTAAAGTAGTTCGGTATCTAGTCCAAGAAGCTATGGAGGATTGCCGGCCC